TCTACAGATGTGAACATGTTCATGAAACTGTCAAGTAAAACTTCCTGTTACTAACATTCTACTGAATGTCAATACAGCTAATAGCAAATTACTTGTAATTAGTACTTTCTTATACTGAACTGCATTTTTATTAATCCAAATAGTGAATATATCTATTTACGCATTATTTTCCCAGACAACAACCCAACCCAAACAATAAAAATACTATCTAAGCAATCATGAGTCAATTCAGGTACACATTTACATCTAATCTCCTCAGCACTGGCTGGCTGAGGAGTTCTGCAAGAGAAGGAGGAGGAGGCAGTGGCAGCAGTGAAGGAGAGCATTTCTGTGTGGTAGTTCTTATAAAATACAAAACTAAAACAGGTCAGCTCCAAGGCACTTTGAAGGTGCCACTTCTTCCTATCAACCATGAGATCAATGTAAGAAGGAATGATCAGAGTTGGACATCTAAATTTAAACATGACGAAATAAATTGATTGTGTGGTTTGCTTTTTGCATTGTGACCAGTCGGGCACAGATGTTTTGCTCTGATACTTCCCTATGCCTCTCTACTTTTAAATACATATATTTATATGAGCAGTGGTGTTGACCCAGACTTACTTACCCTTCCCATACACTTTAAAAGCAAGACAGCCCGCTGCACGCACAAGAGAAACCTACAGAAGACCAGACAGCTTCAAACTGAATCTGGTTGTGACTGAACTTTGCAAACAGTCAAGAAATCACCAAAAATACATCCCAAGGAATTGCAGGCAGGGGAAGCCACTATATTCAAGAGCCCACTCTGCTCAGCACCAGGGAGGGAAACCTTCTTGGAGGAGCTTTTGGGGCCAGTCTGATATTATTCAGTGAACACACAGAGAAACCTAACTTCTGGCTCTAAACAGAAAGCACACTTTTTCAAACTTATGTATAAAAATGTGCTCGCCATAAACAAACAAAGAAAAACCCCAACAACAAAACAAGCAAGAGCCACTACATTATGTATCAGGTTTTTTATCTCCATGAGCTTCTTCTTTATCCGACAGAATCAAGAAGAACAAGCTACACATGACAAATGCTTGTCACATTATTTGATGAACTGTCAAAAGGAGTTCAATGAGGCAAAAGAATATAGATACTTCTACGGATTCACAGTAGTAATATAGAAAGAGACATTAAAAAGCTCACTAAAATATGCTTAAGCTTTGTACTTCTCTTTGTAGCACTTAATAAACATCCTGAAATTTCTTGTGTATCTAAAAGGTTATAAATTTTCATGTCATTTATACTGAAGGCATTAGTAGTATAAACTGTTAAGTATATAACTATAACCCTTACACGACAATTTACTTAAACTATGTGATGTGTCTTATAAGCAGTATTATACTACATTCACTTCTAAAAATTAAAACAATTCTAGCATAATAGGATTTCTAAAATATCAACTATTACAAAGCACTCTGCTGTCAATTAGTCTTTTTGAAATACAAGTGAAAAAAAAATCATTGGCACAAGATCAGTCACATTTCTGACAATGCAGAGCATCTTATCATACTCAATTTTACACATTTCAATGCTTTAACATAACACTAGCATTAACACTAGAATTTAATCTGGAGACAATCTTCACAGCCACAGTACACTTTTATTTCACAACAATGGTGCTTCGTTAGAGCATTCACCAGGATTTTGATTTCTGGCTCTGATTACTTTGCTGCTCATGAGTTGCTTATTTTTTTAATAGCTAATTCACCACCATGTTTGTACTTTTCAGCAAAATAATCAGAGTCAAAGCTTACAGAGAAATCTGGAGGACTCACATAAACGTTTCCATTGTCTATTGTGACCTTATAAATCCTTTGTTTGACTCCTTTTGATTGCCATTGCGGTGTTGGTGATGGCTCCAAAGGGTTTATTCCTTCATATAATCCTTCTCCTGTTTCCAAAGTAATTTTATACTTATGCCAAGGACAAACAATACATGCTTGACCATTGATATCCTGCAAGAACAAGAAGAAAAAATAGCAAGTCACTGGCTTCCTATTCTTCTCCTGGAAGAATCTCTAGGACAAAAGATGTGTTTCCTGATTTGGCTGTATGGTTGATCGCTTACCTATTTCTTTTGATGATATACTCAGAAAGAGTACTAAAATACAATGCAATAGAGTTTTTACATGACTCTATACTACAACACATTATTTTTATTTTGCTTGCGTACCTCTATTTCTCCAAGGCATAAAGGGCCTCCTTCATCTGAAACATGGTAGAAAACATTATTAATTTATGCAGCAGGTTTTATGTTAATTGTTGCAACATTTTGATCATATGTGCAAATATCTTACGGTAGCAGCGAGAGTCCATAGCATAAAATTTCCCTTCATGGTAGAAAACAAGAACTTCTCTGCCATTGACTCTGGCTGTTACTCTTCGAGACTTCTTTATGTCATCTTCTTTGCCAATTAATATAAGACCCTCTGGCTCCACTTCAACTGTTCCTGTGCTTGAGCTGTGCAAACTCACATCCTTGAAACACAAAAAATTAAAAAAGCCACTTCTAAAACAGTTCATGTTTGAATTTCTACATGTAGAATGCATGTCTCAGTCCCAGAGAAAACCCCAAAGCATTTAACATGTGAGATGAAAGGAGCAGAAGTTTTACAAAAGACTAGCAAACATGCACACAAAGCAAAGCACAGGAGTTTGGTGACAATGCTTGGCCAAAGTGTTCACTAATGGAACTTGTACTAGGAAAATCAGCTGCTGCAAACCTGACACCTGAGGATGAGTCAAGATAAATTCTCAATCACTATTCCTTTACCCTGCACTTTATTCGCTACCTCCCTTCAAAACCTACATGAAACAAAAATAAGGACAGCAAATGTAATTTGCTGTACTGCGTAGTTTGGCTATGCAATGGGTAGCATTTACATGTAGATACAATACTCTTTGAATAATACTATGTCTAGAAATACGAAACTGATGCAAGTTGATAAAATATTCCATCTGCAAAAGGGAAAAAAAGAGTTTATTTGGGAGTTCTATTCAACCTGGCCTCTTCAGCAGATGTGTCTCTTTAGCAAATGTATCTGCTTTTCCCTTGCTCCTCTTACATATTTCAAATGTCTAATAGCCTCTCCCAGTAGAGAACATAAGCAGTTTTATCACAAAACCTGCCTTCCTATTAAATTTGCTTACAATACCTACTGTGTTCTAGTTCCCTCTGAATTCCCAGTACAGCTATACAACCCTAACTTCCTCAGAAAATCAGGTTAAAAAAGGTCTTTGTATATAGAGACTGAAGGGAAACCACGGGTGTGGGGATCCCACTGCAGAGGAGTGCAGAGCCACCATACCTTAGGTCCACGCCAGATGGCAATGGAGATGAGAAAGCAGACCAAGAAATGGAGGCTCAGAATAATGAGGTCCAGCATTGCCTCTCTTCACGTGCAACAGCATGTGTCGCAGCCCTTCTTTATGTGTGAACAGAAGGCAGCAGGGTTGACCCCTATAGCAGCAGAGGCACAATGTATGGAGGCTCATCGTGGCAGGGCCCAGCTCTGCCAGAACTGATAAGGAGCAGGGACATGCTGGGGCTGGCCTGATAACAGAAGAAAACTCTAGGTTCTTCTTGCTACCGTTCTTGCTGTCAGCCCACACCACCACCACCTCCTCCAAGAGGGATGTGCCAAACCAAAATCCTGCTCACAGCCACGCAATACATTATGTGCTTATTCGTATTCAGCAGCTGCATGTTTATTAATGAACCGTTATACTGGGAAGACAGATATGAGTGTGACATTTTCAAGGCCAGTTGTTATCTGATTTGCGTGCAATCAGGACTGACCCTCTGCTTTCCAGCTTACAGGAACTTCCATCAAGTCTTACCTAGAAAGCAAAACACTGTCAGACTCATGGGACAATCCAGTAAGGCATTCATGCTTATTTTCTTAAAAAAATAAGCATAGAGTGCAGCAAGCTAACCACAAGAAGTAAGAAATAGTAAGAAATACATAGTAAGAGATCCCCAGTCTTTTCACTATCACCTGTTTGCTGACTCTGCCTATAAATTTTCCAAATTGGCTAAAATCTTAAAATGCAGATGCCTGTGGTTAGAAACACTCTTATGAAGACACCTCTAAAAATTGCGTATCTAAATATACACACATATAGAAATACAGACACACATGTATATCTACATACATCAACGTACACACATATATATGTATGTACAAAACAGTATTAAAATAACACTTGGCACCAAACCTGCAGCTCACTTATTGATGACATCTCTACAGTCAGACTGGATTTTGTATACATGAATTATCCAGGCACCCCAGTTTGAAACCTGGCTCAGACTGTCAGCACAGTGTGGACCCTGCATGGCCCAATCAGTAGGCAATCAGTAGCTAATGGCTTCATATTACTGTCAAGACTTGCACGCTTATCTATAACCAACTACAGATCAAGATCCGCCTTGGCACATCAGAAGTCCTCCAGAAGTCTTTGAGGCAATGTACACTTGTTAATGTGCTGCTGAGTCTGTTAAAACACATGGTAGCAAAAGACTTTCTTCCCTTAGAAAAGGAGCACAGTTATGGACTCCTCATCACGAAAGACCTCTAACTAGGCCCAGTTACTGCAAGCCTACTGTTGCCCCTTTTTCTCACCCATAAAGTGGACATGCACCTGCAAAGTATGAACAGAACATAAGAGATTTCAACACATAGCAGCCCAGGAGGCACTGAAAAACCCAGCAGAGGCAGAAGTCTCTTGCCTGGAGAGTCCTCCGAGTCTGGGATATGATCTAGCGAAGGGCAGCAGACCTCCAAGATGGTTTTTCACCCATTACCATCTTTTCTTCCACCTCAGCCCCTGGCTTGGTGCCATCCAGACAACACTGCCTCCACAGCTGGAACCAGATGAGCAAAGTTCTGTTTTCTCCTTCCTTTCTTTGAACAGCACAGCCACATTAAGAGTGCATCAGGAGATAGCTGAGCTTATGACCATCCCTATCAAAAGCATGTTAAAATGGCAATCAGTCTGCCAATTTTGTCACAGTCCCTTGGAAAGTCAACTCTCTATCATACTCTGAGGTGAAATAATAACTATTTTCGCTGGATCCTCTTTCTTCCAGGTTAATGATGGTGTTAAAACTGTTCATTCAAACAAGACATGGTGCCCGCATAACGCTCTGGGTCCCGTGCCAGAATCCCAAGCTACCAAGCAGCTACCACAATGGCACCTTATTGCTTCTGTTTAAATCCACTATGCACCATTCCATTTCAGGTGGGCAGGTGTAATTCTTGCATTAATTAACTAATTAGCTGTACAGAGCGAAGGGCTGTAACCGGCCTGCTGGATTGGATGTACAGGTATGAAACACCCCTGCTTGTGGCAAAAGTAATCTAAAACACTGTAATTGTTCATGTGAAGCATCTTTTAAGGCAGAGCAGCAACACTGTTCTGAGGCCATATCCTCATTTAGGTATAGTTTTATTAATGAGATTTCCATTACACCTACTTTACCAGCTGAATATTTTTTGTCATGTTGACACTGCAAATTAAGCCAAACCTACAATCTTCTGCAACAGAAGAGCTCTACTGGGAGTGCTAGGACTGGGCATGAATGATGTGTAGAGTTTACAGCTGGCAGCATATGCATGTCATGCCCTCAGGATGTTGATGGTAGTTCACATGTATGAAAATGACTGACAAACCAGAGCAGGTACAGTGAGAACTCTGTGCCTGCAGATTGGAGCTCTGTTAAATGCTGTAATTGGACCTAGGGGGGACCTCACCAATACCTGATGGAATGGTATTGACCCTGCAAAACTGCAGCCTAGACAGTTTGTTGTTCACCATTTTAATATTATTCCCTTTCCTTTCTATTTTGACCTTCAACCAATCCATGCTGAATTGTACCTGATTGAATGATTTCAGATAACTTTTTCCAGCTAATCAAGACTACTTGTAATTTCAGTGTGTCCACAGAAGTGCTGCTAGCTCTCCTAGGGTGTATTTTCTCATGTTTAATAGAAGTATCTACTCCTGAATTCAAATTACTTTCTAAAAAGTACCAAACGGCACAGACCTTATTTGATCAGCCCTCCCCTTTTTAATTTTTGGTACATACTACTGAGTTTGATTTTAGCCAGTTGTGAACCTAACTTACAGTAATTTCACCTAGCTTTCTTTTACCTACCTTCTATTTCCATAGCTTGCTTAAAGAAAGATCAGACGGGTCACTGCCTAGGTGCATTTAATGTCTGGATTTTCCCACTGATTTTTTTTTTTCTTCCTAAGCTAGCTGTCCTGACACAGGCAGCACGATTATTTTCCTGTGATTTGTTGGCAAATTTACAGTGGCGGTCTCTTACCGCTCCAGTGATCATCTGGACCCTGTATTTAGAAAAATAATCCCATTTTTGTTCAGCAGGACAGTGCTACCTCTCCTGCCTCTGTAAGCACTTGAAAGAGAGGTGCAGAGGCTGATCACGCCAATGCCTTTGTTAGTCTCAGGTAAATCCTAAGAGGCTGTGTTGACCTGTCTACACCTCCTAAATACCTGGTTTGAACCTGCTGGCATCCTAGCCTGTCCCCTTCTCCCTTTCATTCAAAAATTGCTCTTCAATGTTAATACTACATAATTCCCTTAGCACATTTGAAAACAAGTTTCTTCCTGTTAGTTAGCCAACCTTGCATGCTGCAAGTCTCATTTGTGTTACAGTAATGCAGATGCATTCACATAACTAAATCAGAGTAATTGATTATGACTGCATTGTTAAATGTATCTATTTTATTATTTAAATTAGCTCAGTTCTATTCCAACACAGGTAGACTATTTATTGCAAACAGAGGCCGGAAGGCACTAGGGGGCTTTTGCCTTCTCTCTAGCTTTTAAGAACGAAGGTTCACATGCAAATAGTAACTTGGAAAAGTCAAAGGTTTACTTTTAGCAAACAAGTCAGGGTCTTCTATTTAAATAAGCATTTTAAGACTACCGGATACGAAAAGAAGCACCAGAGTAGACATACTGGCTTCAGATCAGATCACAACTGGTTGGCTCTGATACCACAGAATCACCTTGCAATGGAGCATCTCTGCCTCTTGATGCTGTAGCTCTGCTTTGTGAGCTGGCACATTCCTAGGGTTTTCTGCATTATCTGCAAACCCGCCCCCATGCACTGGGCTCCTCTGGAAACCCTTAGATACAAGAAGTTATTTCAAGGAATTATGGTAAGAAGTTTGTTTCCCCAAGTTGTTTTTCCATTTCGCAAACTGCACTTTTGTAAGCCTAACGCTTACAAAGAAGTTAATCTTAAAAGCTTGTATATTTAAAAAAAGACACTGTCCACAGCACTGACAAAATACAATTTTCCCTAGCAATTTCTTTAAGCATTTTCCAGCAATTTCTTTAAACATTCAGCTATTAAAAAAGCACACACATATACCACATCCAGTTCATTATAATTTTATTTTAATATATTCTATATGATGTACTGCATTCTGTCCAGACCTCTAGAAAGTTATCCATTTATCCATCCTCTTCCCACCTGAACAAGCTTTCATATGGATGTATTTATTTTCTTTACTTATGCAGACAGTTTACATTACACTGCTGTGTTTTTTTCTTAAATAATTTCATTACTATCTGAACTCAGCAAGAATTATGATGTGCTCCAGTGCTTGCATTTTTTTTAATTATTAATTTGTTCCGTGCCTACCAAAAAAAAAAAAAAAAGCTATCATAGCAGTAAGTAGTATAAGGTTAGCCTTAATGTTCTATGAACAAAGAAACATAAAATAGCTAAAACATTCATAAATATGTACCCAGTTCTAGAGTGTTGTTTGCAAAATGCATATGGAGTACTCTGTATCAGAAAATACATACATTTTTCATGTTTATTTTTGGTAGCTTACTGCTGAGTATTTAATTACAGATTTCAGAAAGCATTTAGGTATGAAGAATAATGTCATCTGATTTATTACAACAGCGTCAATAACTGTGATCAAGAATAAGCAAACCTAACTGCTGCTACAATTATGTTTTCCTTAAGCAGAACAGTTACTAGCTAAATCTTACCCTTCTTCCAAAACTTCAATTTTTTTGTCCCATCCCTGGAAAAACGTGAACTGGTCTTTTTATGTTAACTCTTCCAGAAAGTTTCAATTGCATCTCTTCTGTGTACATTTCAGGTTCCAGTTCTTCACCCACTGATGCACATTAAAACATTTCCCTGAAGAACCTAACTGTGTAATGGAGATTTATTCAAGCAATTTTCATCTAAAGCTATGCAAATCACACACTGACTCTTCAGAGAACTCCTCTACTCACGGATTTGGTCAGAGGGTTGTTTTCTGGTTTGTTTGTTTGTTTGTTTTAAACTTCTGACAGTGACTCGAGACCAGATGCCTCTTCACCTGTACACTTATTCAATTAATAGCCCATGCACATTATTAGACAGCAAGGAGTGGTAAGTACCAGATCCAAAAGCAAGAGAACAGAAGGCAGATCTTGAAAACATGGAGTCAACCATGTACAAAACAGGAATGGTGACACAGTAAGTACTTGAATAAACTGTATATATATATTCAGACCAATACTACTTGTTAACTTTTTGATTCTATTTTAACCGCCATAGCTTCTCTTAGGTGGATGAATGTGTCTTCACTGTGGACTTAAAATCCATCCTGATGGAAAGTTGGCTCCAGCACATTTCACTGTAACTGGTATGCCACTGCACTGAATTTTATAATCCTTGCCTCAGTCTGTCCTTAGAAATGGAAACTGCTGTTGAGTTCTAATGCTTAATATTCTGCATATTTGCTACCAGCTAAATATTACATACACACAATCAGTACTTATGTATTATCCTTCCCATATATATAAAGTGTTACAGAATTATAACATGTAAAAATCTAGATATGTTGTGCTAGCTTGTTGTATAAAATGCTCTTGGCTTTTTAAAACATAGTGGTAGTTGTTCAGGTGTTGTTGCTTTCAATCGCTTATATACGACAATAATTGTTAACACTTCAAATATAGCATAACATTACAAATGAATAATGCTTTCATATTCTCAGTCATATTAAATCTAGATTGCTTTTATTTACTTACTTTGATGAAGCCATTTGTCAATTGCATTCTCATATTTTTCTGGTTCCTTTAACCAGTCTTGATGCCACCTAAGGTTGGCAATAACATTTGAGTAATTCTGACCTAAACTTTGTTTCCAGCTGATAAACTGTCTTTTGTTATACTCCTGAACAGAAGAAGAAACCTTCGGGTAGTTTACTATAGAGTGGAGTATTTTGTCCAAGGAATGTACCATTGCTGGGAATTCTACAGCAATGTTTGTCAGCTCATCTGGATCAGCAGTAAGATCTGGAACAAACACGTCAGTTATGAGTCAGTTCGCATTTAAGTAAATTAATGAGTTGGTCAGGACATAAAAGTGGCAACATACCAAACAGCTGTGGAAGTACTGAACAGCCATCTGAGAACGTGATATATTTCCATTTGCCAGTTCGAAGCATGTACACGGAAGAATTTACATTGCATCCATGGAACTCACTCAATACCCATGAGGGCCGATGCCCTCTGGGTGACACTCCATTCTCAGCCATCCCATGTAGCAGTGGTATAAGAGAATATCCACTGAGGTTCTGTGGGACAGGAATTCTTGCTATATCTAAGCAAAGATAAACAAAGTCAAAATGCTACTGCAGTTACTGTGACTGAAAAAGCCTAACATAATACTACATGTGTCTAAAAAAATTCTATTTCAGTACTAAAACATGCGTTCCTAATTATTCTAGTAGAACACAGGAACCTCCAAATACACAAATAATAATTTAAAAGAAAAACCTTAAGGAGGTTTCCAAGGTCAGCATTTTGATCAAAAGCAGTATCTGTATCTGCTGTGTCTAAGTCCATCTTTAATAGACGTATGTTAAAAAAAAAATTGGAATAGCCTCCATTGAAGCACAGTGCTTTTTTATTTTTTAACCATGGTTTTATACCCTTCCCTTCGCTTCTGCTCTAACCAAGTCAGGCAGGTGAAAGAGACTGTCATAGCATGAAATGACCCCAAAAGCTACACATCCAAAATAGTCTAACCCTTCATTTCTGTGCTAATAACGGTGCTACTCTCTTACCTAATATTCTTCATCAGTGAGTAACAGAACACTTTACAAATGGTGGCCATTACGGTTATCACCTGCAACTGGTGGGGAAACCGAGGAACAGGGTCATTTGCTTCACTGGTACAGCTGGAGATGAAGATGGTGTCAGAGGTGGAATCCATACTGTGCGTGTATGGAAAACAATGAATGACTCTATGGCCTGCTGGATGGCCCCTAGAAGATGCTGTAACTTGAAGCTCCTGAGTATCAACTCACATCACAAGTGTCTCTGACTCCCAAAGACTAGGTCAATATTAAGAGGCTGCACAGATCTCTCAGAGACATCCTGAAAAACAGTTGAGAATCCCAAGCATGTTACCTAAACTAAACCTAAACTAGTGTGTCCTAAATGGAGCATGACAGATAGTCATTAAAAAGTCATCAGTTTCCATGTCAAAGAGCACTATGGTAGTATTTCATCTCCTATGCCAAGTGGTGATATGCAGTGCATATAAGTTCTATGCAACAAGGGAGGAAGGGAGGAAAGAAGGAACTTAAACCACCTGACCAGTTATGTTATTTGAGGAAAAGCACAAAGAAAAAAAGAAGATTTTTAACTTTTTACATATGATACTTACATAAGTACCATATCCAATGTAGATTACTTTTTATACATATAAAAGACTTGATATCAGAATTTGGAAGAGAAACCTACTCAGATTATAGTCTATTTTCATCTGGATAAATAGACCAGAAATTTTGAGAAGAGACATGCAGATAAAGATTCTTTCTTCTGTTCTTAGGAAATCAAATTAAGACAATATAGAAAAGGATTTTTCACTGTCTTTCACTAATTGAAGTATAGTTTTATCTACTATCCCACACTTTCTCAGGGAACTGCAGTATACAGTGACACTTCTTGAAGAGCAAGCTTTGCAGAATGCCTGGAAAAGACCATTTTTCTCATTGGTAGCCTAAAAAGTCCCAGATAAAGAATCAAATGGTGATTTCACCTAATGTTTAGTTTCAGTGAGATTCATCTCTTGCATGATTTACCACAGGTAACTGCTCAAAAAATTCACTCTAAAAAATAACTGCCATCTGCATGTAAGCAATTTACTATCAGTCTTTTTTATTTGATTCTATGCCCTACAATGAATATTGCCACATCTAAGAAGGTAAGAATGATATCCATCATCATACTGTATTATGCTTGACATGATCAATAGTACATTTCCTATACAAAGTTGCTATAACATTTCTTCCACGTGCCCCTTTGTAAAAGACATTTCTAATGAACCTCCACCCTTTCAGGTTTAATCTCATCTCTGGATGCATTTACACTGTTAGGCATGAAGGCTATAAAAAATTATTCATATCTAAACTGCATCTGACTTTTTTATCAGTTTTCCTTTGTTTTAAGATACTCCTATATAATTCACTATAATTGTGTTGATGACAGTAACATGAATAAGGAGCATCCTGAGCTCCTTTAAATTTTACATCAATTTTTTGCATTTAAGTCCATACGTATCCTCCGCCAATAAACTTTTATATCCCACTGTGTTACTACATTGTCTCACAAAGTGGAGATGAAAGCCTGACTATAATACAACTGGGGGAAAAAAAATAATTTTAAATTACTTAACTTACCAAGCATAGTAGGATATATATCCACAAGAGATACCACATTTGGTATTTGCTGCTGTTTTTTTATGCCTGGCCCCATAACTAAAAGGGGAACATGTGAACTTCCTTCATACATGCTCATTTTATAGAACTGCCGGTGTTCCATAGCAAGTTCTCCATGATCTGCAGTGAATATAACAATTGTTTTTTTAAGAAGCCTAGCATCTCTCAGAGCTGAAATAACCTCACCTGCAACAAGAAAAAGATACTGAAAGGCTATGTTCAAAATATTCTTTCCAACTTCTGTACCTGCAAAGAGGCATGCAAACCCTGAGGAATCCTAGACAGAGGGTTGGAATCTCCTCTCTGCCATGGAAGGCAGAGCCCAATGCATTCATTCCAGAACAACAGTTGCCAGTGAGTTGCAGGGCTCTGTTGAGTTGTTGAGTTGAGGGCACTCAACAACAACCATAAAATGTCAAATGTCCTGCACCACAGGACAAGCTGCATTTTTGCTATGTCACTTTTGGTTAATTTCTCGGATAACTAATGCTAATCATTTCAACAGCAGTAGAATAGGTCAGCAGAAGCTCTGACACTGCAGTTAGGGTGAAGGACTCTTGAGAGCATCCACTTTACACAGCGTAAATGGAAGTTTCTCCTTCCTGTATCTACATCCCCTCAGGAGTTCCTTGCACATTTGTGCAATGAAGACAGGGTCAATGAAGTCAGTAATCGCTTACACATCTTTAACATTAAAGATGATTCTTGCATAAGCAGACTAATTAGAAGCTTAAAATATGTTACCAAATTAAACCCCAGTGCTGTTACTTTGCAATACCTTCATTCCAGAAGTGCCGTCAGGCTCCAATTGATGTCTCTTTTTTTATTTTTAATTTCTTTAAAATGTGGAAGAGTAATTCAGTGCCTTGATCATTCTAACATTGCTAAAAAGATCAGCTTATTTATTCATTAATTTTATATTACAATATAAAGGAATTCTTGTTCTTTCATGGTCACTTTTCAAATTTTGAAATAAAATACTTGTCCTGGGTTCAGCTGTAACAGTAAATAAAGACCAATTTGCATTATAATCTTTATGTATGTAGATGTTACTGCAAACTAAAAAGAATTCTGAATGCCTAATTAGTTTTTTTTGTTTTTCTTCTCCTTAACTTTCAATAGTATGCTGCTAAGGGAAACATCGTAAGTTTACTATGTGTAATAGCTGTCATCCAGCTATATTGAAATCAATCTCCAAGGAAATCGCTTGTGCCATAAAATGTACCTTTCCTTTCAGCTCTGCTCTGCTAGTCTGTCCCCATTCCCAGTTGCTTGCACTGATTCAATTAGCACTTAATCAATGAGTACTTAGTTCCTCTTGTACACTGGTAACTGTTTTGCTACAGTTACTGGGCTTTTACAGGGTCTCTGACTGGTGGGCGTGATTACTTTTCACAGTGCTCTGAATTCACCTTGGAATAGCCTTAAAAACTATCCAGTTATTTATCATATAGACTGATTAAGAAGCATCCATGTGGCTTACTGGAAGATCTGAACTGTGTTTTGTTTCGGTTCCTTTTTTTTTTTTTTTTCTAGAAGACCAGCTCTATGGGCATTAAATTACGAAAATCAGAACAAGAAAACTCACTGTAGAATGAAACATTACCTACCAAGCATGGCATCTGTCTCTGCACACATAGCATAATAAAATGCTCTAATATTTCTCACTTCTTGCTTTGTAAACTCGCCTGTGCAATTCTTAGTGTAAGATGAGTAATAGTCTACTGGATGCATCTCTGAAAGAGAAGACCACTTGGGTATTTTAATAGCTTCATAAGTCACCTAAAAATAAAAGGAAATTCACACTACTTTAGCAACTAATTAATTTTTTTTAAAAACAGATTTAACTTAAAACTTTTTAGCACAAATTCACAGTTCTCAACTTCTTGTCCAGGAAACATTAGCTTCTTACCCATTACATGGTGCTGCCAGCTTTCCCCTACTTCCCCTCTGCTTCCACAGATATGAAGTATTTTTAAGAGAGTGCTGTAAAAATCAGCTAGAAACTAAGGCTAGGAGCCATAAATATGTGTTCTATTAGCTGATGTCTTTTTTTAAGAGAGATACTGCAGAACAGTCTTCTGGAACTGTACTCCAGAGTAAGTACAAAAGTATTGGCGTAGTTTCATTAACTATAGGATAATTACAACTCGTATGTATCAAAAAGATCAAGTGTTTTGTGAATCCACAGAACAACATGGAAATTTACATAGTCTGGTAAGGTCTCTAGAAAAGTGGATGACAAGTCTTGACATCTTGATAAAAAGAATTCACTATTACTAGTCAAATTTTCTGACACTTTTCTATTTGTTTCTACAGTTGTCAATCCATTCAGTTATAAAGAATTCTAAGATCAGTTTGAAACCAAAATGTAGGAGCCAATCGGTTACAATGATGGATTTGAATATTCAAACTGCCATGCTCACAGATACGGTGTGCTGCCATACCAGCTTTAGAGCCTCAGCATTTGACATACGTGTTTAGCCTAGGCAGTCATACTGTACATATTCCTTTAAGTAAGTGCTGCATTTAACAGTTAATTACTTCCATACTGTAGACTTAAAGCACAAGTTACCATGAAGCAGAGATGTAGTCTTTGTATAGAAAACTTAAGTTTTTAAATTAATAAACCAGACATGTTGCCTTAATTTACATCTGGAAATCTTCTTAACAGAGCTGACGCCTAGATTATGGCACATCAACTCTAATGCCTGTGCAGCACCTTCTGGGGCTGCAGCCACAGCTCCACTCCCAGGCTGTCCCCAAACACAGGCCGCATGGTTCCTGATAAATTAACTGAGGTGCTTACTTTCCAAGCAGCTCCATGAAGCACAAAAGCGATCAGACTAAAGGCGTCCCTAGATGCACTGCATCCCTGTTTATTGGTGTAGCAATTTAATAAGCATCAATCTCTGCTGAACCCAATTTGGTTTTGCCCCAAGGTGTGGATGGGTAACTAAGAGCTGTCTGGGGAGCTACTAGGACAGCATGTCTCTGGAGCACAAGCTATAGTTTTGACCACCAGTGCTGTTATGGACATGTGTTCCAGTACCCACAAAGTTCTACCCCCCACAACAGTCAATATTCTCTATTAAGTATCTAGCAGACGTATTAAGTCATAGAATCATGTAGGTTAGAAAAGACCTTTAAGCTTATCAAATCCAGCTGTTAACCCAGCACTGCCAAGTCCACCACTAAACCATGTCCCTCAGAGCCACATCTACACGTCTTTTAAATGCTTCCAGGGATGGTGACTCCACCACTTCCCCGGGCAGCCTGTTCCAATGCTTGACAATTTCTTCTCTTTTTTATGAAGAAAATGTTCCTCATACCCAGTCTAAACCTCCCCTGGTGCAGCTTGAGGCCATTTCCTCTCATCCTATCACTTGTTACTCGAGAGAAGAGACCAGCACCTAAACAATTGGTAAGGCAGCAGGAGGTGAAGTGCCCATAGGGATAAACCCCAGCTTTGCAATACAGTCAGACATACCAAAACCTAAGTTTTCTTAGAGCCTTTAGAAAACAGGCTGCAAAAACAAAATCATACCAGGCAATTGCTTCAGACATCTTCCTATTGCTGAAGGTCCTTGGCTACAGAAAGTCACATTTTAGACTCCTCAAATGGTGTCTATTAGTCACTTAAGACATAACAGGACCCAAAAATGTCCCACTCCATCCACCATTCATCAGAAGACTGAAAAAGGTTCTACAGGAAAAGGGTTCTACAGGACTACACCGTAGTTTTAGGGATTCACAAAGTCATGAACCCTTTGTTTGTCTGACGTAATTCATAGCTAGGAAAAAAGCCATATGCCCTGAAAAAGTACTGGCTAGTGCAAAATATAGGGGACCATCTGCTTAGCAACACAGGGTTTCATAAACATACCATGTTGATATTCTGTTCTGTATTAGCTACTCAGTAAACACGTAATTTAATTCAAGTTCTTCATCTATGCAAAATTCTTCATCAGATTGATCTCTGTCATTTTCAAAGACTGCTTCTTCCATAGGCAAAACATGGAAGCTACATTCCGTAAGAACCATCCAAAGGTCAATAAATGGTAATACGTGGTTCACATAACTGAGTATGTGTATGTAGTGGCGGAAGAGACCTCAACAAGCTATGGAGTTTATTTACTCTAACTGGATGACAAAAATTTGTGAGAGCTGTTATAACTCTGCTTGCAACTTTAAAAAAGCTAACCCCACTTCCCAAGATGTCCAACCTAGCAATTAGCACCTAGCAAGTCTTCTTTAATATCCAAGCCAGATCTTGATTTTTGCAAATGAGGTGTTCTTTTTCCCCCAGGCTTTTCCTCTACCAAAAAGCTTCCCACCATTTCCAGAAGAACCCTGTACATCCTTTTTTCTAAGACTTTGTATTCTTATTGCACCAGGATAAGTTTGCAGTTTCCCAGCAGAAAAGGCCACAAGTTACATGAACTAGGGGTGGGTTTTTGTTGTTTTTTTTTTGGTGTGTGTTTTGTTTTTGTTTTTGTTTTTGCAGGGGTGTGATGTGTTTTTTTTTTTGTGGTTGGTTGGTTGGTTTAGTTGGTTGGGGGGTTTTGGTTGTTTGGGTTTTTTGTTTGTTTGTTTTCAGACCATTACTGAAAAAAAAAAAATACAGCCATGTATAGCAGTAATTTCATTTTCTGTTTAATGTGTTTTTAGCCACAGAACTCCAAACTTCTTTATTGATTCAGTAACAACTGCTAACAAAGCCTTTCCTACAACAGAAAGAAATTCTTCACTTCTAATTGCTCAACCTTAAAGCAGAAATCTAACATCTAGACCAACAATTTTCTTACTCTGCACTGACATATCTAAACTGGGTCTGACTTGGAAAGTCATGTGAGGAATAAAATATTGTTCATAACAAGTACATTTATAAATAAACTTATATTCAAATTTCATCTTCACATACCTTTTCAAGCCAATAGGGAGATGTTACAAATGTAGAGGATCCAAAATTTTCTCCTGCATAGGGTGATGGATACGGGTGTGGTAAATTCAGCCCCAAGTAAAGAATAAATGGTTGAGTAAGGTTAATGGCTTCATTCTTTATCCAATTAACTGCTTTATCAGTATTCTGCCAATCTGCTTCCATCACTCTCACATGCTTCTTATCACCAGTCAGGTTTACCATAGGTCTCCCTTCTTGGCGGAGCAGGAAGTCAACATCCCTAGTCCAAGCTTCCACACGGTTACTGAAAATACATACATATGATACACACTCAGTGGAAAAATATGTTCTTCACCGCTTCCTTCAAGTCAAAAGAGTTAAGAATTCCTGAATAACTTTCCTTATACTGCAATCTATTTGTAATTTCTACAATAAAGAGAATTGTTATTCAATTGATCAATATCTATTACACATCTATTTTATACTCAAAGCTTTAGCAATTTTTTTCTGCTTCTGAATCTTCTTATTTATTATAACTTCTTCTCAGAATGGTTCTTCTCACATCTACAAAATAATATTTAGAAATAGCATCTCCACCTTGTTGACCCTGCTACCCTTTCTGGTATGGATTCACATTACTTCACCTGGCAAAGAGGGCATTAGGTTTTTGTTATTTGAAAAAGTCCTATGGGAAACAACTTGCCTGGAGAGGCTGCCTTTAGAAGCATCATTCCGGTTTTGGATAACACTATTATAACATTTTTAAACACTACCACTTACAACAAAAGTCCGTAAGAGTGACTGATCTTGTACAATGGCATTCTTGTATAAATGCTATCAAGAAAAGGGAACAATGGAGTAGAATGGTGCAAAGAAAGCAAGAAGGAGAAAAAGAACACTTTAATGACTATTTTTTTAACAGATTTTCTAGTATCATGATAATATTGCCTCTCTAAAATGCTGAGAAATCTAAGCTGCAGATGTCCTTAATTCTTTGCCAGAATGAATGACACCATGGCTGCCATAAACAAGGGTTGGGGAGTTGGAACAGCTCATGAAGAACTGCAGCGCATTGGAAGGACCCACATTAGAGAAGTTGGTGGAGGGCTGTCTCCCATGGGAAGGACCTCATGCTGGAGCAGGGGAGGAGTGTGAGGAGTCTTCCCCTGAGAAGGAAGGAGTGGCAGAGACAGCATGCGATGAACTGACCACAACCCCCATTCCCCATCCCCCTGCACTGATGGGGGTGAGGAGGTAAAGAAAATCAGTACGAAGTTGAGCCAGATTGTAGGAAGGGGTAACAAGAAGGTGATTCAAGATTTGGTTTTATTTCTCATTATCCTACTCTGACTGCTAACTGGCAATAAATTAAATTGATTTCCCTTAGTCAAGTCTGTTTTGCTTGCAACAGTAACTGGGAGGTGATCTCTCCCTGTCATTATCTCAGCCTACAACCCTTTCGTTCTATTTTCTCTCCTCTGTCCAGCTGAGGAGGGCAGTGACAGAGTGGCTTTGGTGGGCACTAGGCATCCAGCCAGGGCCAACCCAGTGCAACAGCGTAAGTCTTTGAAAAGGTATGACCTTCAAAGAAAAAAAAAAGACAAAAAAACACGTCATGTTTTGTGATGGTGGATTTGATACCCAAGCTTTATCAAATATGTTTTCCTACATTGCTGGTATAATACAACCTGGAAGTCTCAAGACACCGCTTTTGAACTTCACTTACAGAGCAACGCCAATGATCAAAAATAACCTTCATTCATATTGGGCAAAACCACAGCCTTGATACACACCTTCCATCTACAGGTAAAAGCCATAGGGCATCTGCATGGGATACACTTGGTTGTGCACAAAGTTGCTAAATTTCTTTCACATGAAAGCTACTACCATTTCAGAGATAGAAACCACTTGCCACACAATTACATGATTAATTCAGTCCTGCCTGTTTTGCAGGAGGAGAATCTATCTGATTACCTTACTGAATGATGTCCAGAAGTATAGTCCAATTTCCCATACTTCTGTGTGTGGTAGCCATGCTTCTCCATGAGATCCATCCATGTTACATAACCTGGATCTAGACCTTTGAAGTTATTCCAAGACTCTGTTAAATGCGTGAAAAGACCACTCCACATCGCTGGGGAGAATAAAAAATTGGGTTATGGTTTTCGATGAGGTGGTACTTCCTATTTAAATGCAAGTTACTTGAGAAGCGATCAATCAGTATTTTTGTGGCAAAAAGTCCACATGTACAAAGTATTACACTTCCAAATCTTACTTTCATCATCAATACAAATAACAACATTTACTAAAATAATCCCCAGAATTACAGAAGGTCCCATCCAGGTGCTATGCAATCATTAAATCAAGGTTTCCCATAGATCAGGAAATATTCCTATTAATTGCAGACAGGAAATGCCATGGTAGTACAGATCCTGATGAAACAGTCATCTATTTACATTTACAGAGTATTATCTGCCCTTACTTCAGTTAAATTTGAACATGAATTTGAAGTCTTTGGAGGGAATTAGTGAATATTATTTTTACAAATAATATATGCCCTCAGTTTTATCCTCTTTAGGTAATTAACTTCACTATCAGCTCTAGAAAAAAAAACAGATTATTAAAGAGGCCAAGAAGAAAAGAAACCAAGGGAAGACTTGCAAAGGAACTGTAAGTATTGTATTTATTAGTGAATTCCCGTGTTTCTTTGCAGATTGTTGAGAATCATTCACTCTTCCCAATTCTAAGAGTCAAAAGGAGTCCTAAACCGGAACTAAGCTGTTCTATTCGCAATGGAAATATCCTGTGTGGCAGCCCTACCTCCGTACCATGGCAATACTCCTACCTCCCCCACCCTAAAATCCTCCTTCTCACCATCTCTTCTAATGTGATCCCTGACACCTCCCCAACAGATGTACCCTCAGCTCCTTGGACGTCTCCAAGCCACTGGCTAAACAAGAAATGTCCTGCTAGTTCAGAGCTACACTTGTGATGACTGACAAGTGGTCATGATGATGTTGGTGGACCACCTATAATGATAAACAGAAATGATGAACTGTTGAATTCATCATGCAGTATCTTCTTCACTGGGAGCAGTAGCTGCTATTTTCACAAAGCTTCTTAGAAAAATATAGTTACTATTCTCAGCAACAGAGATTATCTGAAAGATGCAAAAATTGAGAAAACACGACTGATGGCACGCTCATGTACTCTCACTTAAGATGAAGCCCTGAAAACAGAAAAGGGTACCAGTAAAAGGTTATCAGTAAATAAAGTACTAAAAAATTAATCTGACAGCCTGTGCCTGCTGCAATCAGGATGGGATGCTTGTTCCAGTGTATGCTTGAGAGAAAGGGGGATCTTCCTTTCCTTCCTTTAAATTTCACTTACAGCTCCCAAAGGGTCTTTGCAACAACTGAAAGGTCTAGAAGCATTTTAAGATGTAAACTTTGCTTCCTTCTAACTTCCCAGCAAATTCTGCAAGAGGGAAATTGAACACAGGGCAACTACTGCAGCAAGTATACTCAAATATTCAATTAAAGCTACTGAAGAATACATAATGCATTCAGCACACTGCTTGGAATAAATGCCATTGGAAGGCAGTACTATTCATCTGTTATTATGTAATACTATTTCCTGAGACAGGAAAGAGAATTATTAATTTTGCATTGGGGAGAGCAGTTCTGAATGTAGCTTTAGCACTGCAGCAGACAGACTGATCATTTTTCTTCAAATCCAGAAATATTTTTTTCAAATAGTAAAGCTGCAGTGGAATTTGCAAAAAGATTTGTGAGCTCACACATAGCTTGGAAAAGAAGAAACAAACAAACAAATAATGAGAAACAGAAAAGAGATACATATAAAACATGAGTACCCTCTATAAATTCAGCCACAAACTAAAATAAAATTGGGTCTTACTGATAAACAAAACAAATTCCCTAAATTAAATCCTTTAAAATTTCCCATTATTACCATGTATTTAAATTGACACATGCTTGGTCCTACCTGCACGGGAAGGACAACAAATTGGAGAATTGGTATAGGCATTGAGAAAGATAGTGCCATATCTTTTCATAAAATTTATGAAAGGCAAATCCACAGTCTGATTTCCAGGATAAAACGTCAAGCGTCCATCCTGCATAGAAAAACAGTATATAAACAGTATGAACTCAAACTACTGGCTACATTAATTCATAGTTTTATTACCTTAACTTGCATTACTCAAATGTTGCCAATTCTACTCAGGTATGGAAAATAAAATGTTGAGAAGCTATAATTAGACTAATTTAATGGATAAAGAAAAGTGTTACATAAAGGAGATGAGGCCTTTTTCATTGTAAAATTATTTCCTTTCTACTGCTATACACATTCTGATGTCCAGTTCTTATGGTAGTAGAGTCCCACCATGATGTATTCAACAGGGATAGCTATGGTGAAAGGTGACGAGAAGCCAGTCTGAATCCTGATGCAGATGTGTGCATTGGCATGTATTTCTGTGAAATCAGAACTGATCCTTCATCTTTTTCCTTCTTTTAAAGGTTTATCCACACATCTCTGTGAACTTACTTTACACTCTGGACTGGAAAAGTGGCAAGGCAGCTGAGTTTAGAATACAAGAGTTACCAACTGTCTCAGTAACATGGGAGGCCTGTCTTCAGTTGTAAGCAAGGAAACATACCTGGTATTTGTGAATTAAAGATCTTTCCTACCTGTCTAGAGGTTAAAACAGCTGTATCAGTAAATCATTTAATAAAGCCACTAGAAATCCATAAAAACATATATACTAGTTCCTTTATCCTTTTAGCTGTAGATATACATCCAAGCAGCTTATTGTAATATTTGTTATACCAAACAGTGCAAGTATGATGCCCAACAGCTTAACTCAGTCATTTGCTCTGTGATTACAGACATTCTCCATCCCATCCCTAAAGTTCTTAGGATTTACAATGGCAAAAATAACAGGCTGTAGTGACCTTACTTTCCATTTTGCTTTCTAAGCCGAGAGAAAAGCATTAATTTCTTTTACACACCATCTCTGCCCCATTAACTGCTGCCCTGCTCTACAGCCCGGCTGACATGCCTCCCTCTACCGCGAATTGCGGCGACAAGCTGGAGGTACCACAGCTGACACCCCGTACCACACAAGCAGAGGTCTCTGACTACTGTAATGCGTCCGTTGAATACGTGCAGCACACTCCCATTAAGAAAGCCGAGTTTGGTTTACAATACAAGAGTTACCGACTGTCTGAGCGACACGGGAAGCCTGCCCTCATTACTCCAAGCAAGCCTTCCACCCCGTAGAGGTGGTGGAGAATAAAACCCGGCCTGTAGCCTATGGCTGTAGAAGGAACAGGCACGGAAAAGTCCTCTCTGCTATTAGATATCCGCGAAGGTCCCTCTCCCGCCGGCATCTGCGAAACGCCGCCGAAGCACCGCTGCCGCTCTGCCACCCTCCTGCCCTCCCTCACCGCGGCCCCGGCCACTACCGCGCCCAGGAGCCTCACCAAGGAGTCGCAAACCACCAGCACCACGCTGGGCCGGGGCTGGCCCACGGGGGCGCCGGGCGGCGGCCTCGCCCCGGCCCAGGGCGCCGCGGCCATAAGGAGCAACACCAGCCCGGCCCGCCCCAGCGGCAAGGCGCCCGACATCGGCCCGGCTCCGTGACCTCCCTCTCCCGGACAGAGGGATGCGGCAGTCCCGAAGACCGATCCGGCCCCACCAGAGGATCAGCCGCCTCAGCAGCCGCGCTCACCACATCAGGGTACGACTCCGAGCGGCGGCAAAAACTACATTTCCCACAATGCACGAAGCAAAATGGCGGCTAAGCGGGGCAAGTCTCTGCCCTGACGCCAGGGCGTATGCGCCGGGGCAGTGGTTGTGACCCGTCCCGTCGCGGCTCGGCTCGCTTTGGCTTGCTGCGGCCCGGTCTGTGGCGGGACAGCCGGCCGTGCTCGGTGGGTCTGCCTGCGCTGTGTCACTTCTCCCCGCGGGCCTCCGCTGTAGGTACGAGCTGGGGAGCCGAGCGGGTGTTCGCTGACGTGGGGCCTACTTTCTCTCTAGGTGAAACGGAACTTGGGCTCGGAAATGCCGGCGGAGGGGATGTCTGTGGTGGTTGAGGCGCCTTTGCCCTCTTAGGAAGCAGATTTATCTGTAGGAGCTCCTGGGCAGTGTAAGTTTAATTTTTTTTTTTTTTTTTTTTTTTTTTAGACTCTTGGGGGAATCATTGAAATCCACTCTCTTCCTGTGTCCTTTCACTACTAATTTATTTCTAGGCCCTTCACCTGTTCTTTATCTCTTGCCTTTTAGATGTGAAAAGGCCTTTTTGTGTTTCAGCTTGTTCCTGTTCCTGTTTCTCTCAGTGCCTGCACCGTTGGTGTTGTTTCTCAGCCTCCTCCCATTTAGGCAGTGTTGACTCTAGAATCAAAGAATGGTTTCGGCTGAAAAGGAGCTTAAGATCTTATAGTTCTAACCCCTTGCCGTGGGCAAGGACACCCTGATAGACCAGGTTGCTCCAACCTGTCCTTGAACACTGCCAGGGAAGGGGCAGCCACAGCTTCTCTGGGCAGCCGGTGCCAGCACCTCATCACCTTACGGGTAAGAACTTCTGCTTGATATCTAACCTGAACTTCCCCTGTTTTAGTTTAAACCCATTACCCCTTGTCCTATCACTACAGTCCTTAATGAAGAGTCCCTCCCCAGCATCCTTATAGGCCCCCTTCAGATACTGGAAGGCCGCTATGAGGTCTCCATGCGGCCTTCTCTTCTCCAGGCTGAACAGCCCCAACTTTCTCAGCCTGTCTTCACACGGGAGGTGCTCCAGTCCCCTGATCATCCTTGTAGCCCCCTTATGGACTTTCTCCAACAGCTCCATGTCCTTGTTATGTTGAGGAAACCAGAACCTCACATAGTACTCCAAGTGAAGTCTCATGAGAACAGAGTAGAGGGGCAGGATCACCTCCTTTTACCTGCTGGTGATGCTCCTTTTGATGCAGCCCAGCACATGGAGGGTTTCTGGGCTCAATCTCCCACTGAAGCTGGGTCATGTTAAGCTTCTCCTCAGCCAGCACCTCCAGGTCCTTCTCCACAGGCTGCTCTGCATCAGTTCTCCACCCAGCCTGTAGCTGTGCCTGGGATTTCCCAGACTCAGGTGTAAGACCTTTCACTTGGCCTTGTTGAACTTCATGAGGTTGGCGTTGGCCACCTCACAAGCATGTCAAGGTCCCTCTGGATGTCTCTTCCCTCTGTCATATCAACCAAACCACGCAGCTTGATGTTATTGGCAGACTTGCTGAGGGCACACTCAATCCCACTGTCCATGTCGCCAGTAGAGATGTTGAACGGAATTGTTTCCAACACTGACCCCTGAGGGGCACCACTTGTTACCCATCTCCAGTTGGACATTGAGCCATTGACCTCAGCTCTCTGCATGCAGCCATTCAGCCAATTCCTTATCCACCAGGTGGTCCATCCATCAAATTGATGTCTCTCCAATTTAGAGACAAGGATGTTGTGTGGGACGTTGGTGTTTCTAAAATTTGTTTGAGGCAAAATATTTAACTGTATACATCAGAATAATACATAATCATTTCAGACTTCCAGAGCATGAAGCCTCTTTGCTGTGTCCTTAAATGTTTTTATTCTTTCTCACTTTTACAGCCATAGTGAGAAGGAGGGTCTGCCATAAGTGTGTGAAGGGAGGAGAGCATTGTGGACCACACCTAAAGGTAGGTGACAGCCTAGCCACAGTGCTGCTGTATGTAACGCCCAAGAAAAACTCTTAGGATACTTAGGAACCCGTTACTGACTTAATCCTATGCTGGAGCTGAATGTAAATAACTAATTTGTAAGTAACTAATGGCACGTCCCTGGCAGCATTAAAGGCCAGGTTGGACAGGGCTTGGAGGAATATGGTCTTGTGGAAGGTGTCCCTGCCTAAGGTACTGAGGTTGAAACTAGGTGCTCTTTAAGGTCCTTCCAGCCCAAACCATTCTGTGATTCTATGAATTTTAAGCATATTACCTGTTTCGGCTGTTTTTAGTGCTGAATCCATTTTGGCACACTGCAGCATATTCCTGTGTTCTGAATGCTCTCTATGTAATTATAGTGGGATATAACCAACATTTTGAGTTCAGTATATCTTTCTGAAAGAAATGATTATATATCCTTTTTACTTAATAGCCACAATGTCAAATAAGGAGGTGAAGGCAGCATTAAAGAGTGCTAGAGAAGCAATACGAAATAAAGAATATAAAGAAGCCTTAAAACATTGCAAGGTAACTAACTTTTTTATTTGGAAGGTAATATTTTATGCATGTTTGGCTTGCTGTTCCCATATCCCTACAGCTGTGTAGTAGTGCAGAGTGTGGAGTACCATATTGGTATAATAGTTGAGATTGATTTTTCAAGTCTGACTCCACTGATCATTCATGTTTGTTGCCCACATGTAAGCTTTTATTCTCCTTGCTTTTGCATTTGCTTATATGTGACAATAAGAACATTAATTCTAAAATGATAGAGATAAAAAATTTCTAAATTACACCTCGACAGGAGTGCTTTAATTGCTGAGCTCCAGATGTTTTTCCTACAGTTCAGATAAGAAATATTGTCTGATATGAAAAGCTGAAGTTATTAATCCTAGCCTTTTTCTAAAAATTATTTCTAGTATTAAGTTGTGGAATAAGTCACCCAACTGTAATGATAAAACTCAATACATGGATCTATAAGATGCATTTCATTCATCAGTTTCACTTAAAATTGTATATTTCTAGGCAGTCTTGAAGCAAGAAAAAAATAACTACAATGCTTGGGTATTTATTGGCGTGGCAGCTGCTGAGTTAGAACAGCCTGATCAGGCCAAAGGAGCATATAAGAAGGCTGTTGAGCTTGAACCGAACCAGTTACTGGCATGGCAGGTACTGACTGTCCAGACTAACTTTTTCTTTGCCTGAAAACTGTCACTATGGAGTTAAATATTGCAACAAAGCAGGGTTGAGACTTGTACTGTGTCTTCTTCGATTCTGCTGAAGCTTTGGAGTAGCTGAGGTTTGTATTGTTTCTGTGTTCAAAGTTAAGTCATGAGTGCCTACGTAGCCTGTATGTCAGGGTAAGTTTCAATTTCAGCATATTTAAGATTTTATTTCTTGTGTACACTAGTTAGCAGTGAAGCATGAAAGGGAGAACATAAATTGAAACAGTACGGTAAATTCATCCATGCTTAGGAGTTTCCATGTGTCTAGCTCAAGGAAAATTTAACAATGCTCTCATAGGCAAGAAAATGTTTTTTCTATTAACATATTTTTCCAGCTTCCAGCATCAAGTGGTTTGTTACTGAATTTTGTTATTGTTTAAAAACAATACTATACATTTAAAGTAGCTGTGTGCTGGGTGGTGTATTCATGACAACCAGTAACAGTGTATAGTTACAGTGTACAAGTATGTTGTTTGGAGACTTGTGAAGCATAAAATTGTACATTAAGTCTATCTCTGATACCAACAATTGATACTTTTTGAAGATAGGTTCTTAGTATTTTTAATATAAATACCTTTTTAAAGCATAACCATTGGTGCAGTATTTCAAGGCATATTGAAATTTCCTTACTTTTGCAATCAGATTCTGGCTTTCTGTTACTATGCAAGATAGTATGATACTTGGACATACATCTTTTATCACGTGACAGTTTGCTTTGTATATTGTCTGTTACATAGACAACATTATGTAGCATATACAAGTTTCAAGTATTTGTTGGTATTAGTTAAGAAAGTGAGGAAAACTTAGTAGATTCAAAAGGCTTTACAGAGGTATCAGCGTAGATTCTGCTCAGAGATTATGATTTTAATACTTGACCCCATTGAAGGTATTGAGTAACTTTCGTAGGCAGAACTCTTGCAGTGTTCTCATAATACAACCGTTGACAGAAAATCTTACTTACATTTCAAATATTTTTTTTCTAAAGGGATTAGCAAATTTATATGAGAAATCCAACCAAACAGATGTCAAAGAAGACTTAGCAGATGTTTACCAAAAGCTCTTGGAACTCTATGCAAGGTAAAAGATACTGAATACCATCAATTCAGTCTAAGATCTTCAATGAATACTGTTGCTGATACAAAGGATAGAGTTGTTTTATTTTTAAAGCCTTGTAACATCTGTGCTTTCAGCACTTCTTACTAAAGTTGTCTGTACCTATATAAGGTTTCTTAATCTTGTCCGTTCTGATAAGGCAAAAACTCTTGGAAAAATTGAACTTAAAGTCAGCTGTTGAGAAAATTCTGTTATACTATGTCCTCTGTCTAAACTTTCTGCATTGAAGCATTCAGCTCTCATAGTTCATTGTCTGCATTAGTAAGTAGGCTTATTTTTGTCCGCTTTAAGATGACAGAATATATGACATCTGGTTTATATAGGTGCACTTCAAAACAAATGTAACTCTCAGCTGGAAAACTTAGCTTGTTTGTGTGGGATTTTCTTCCTTTCTAGTGGTGACAAGCAGAAATGGTGTGATGTATGTACCAAGCTTGTAGAGCTATATCATCAAGAAAAAAAATACTTAGAGGTAGGTTGAGTAATTTTGCTTTCTCTCTTCAAACATGGAATTTCCATTTAATCGGAACTAACTACTTTTCATCAGGGAATCCCCATTTTTTTTTTTGCAGCCACAGACCATGTAAGATTTCCTTGTGGCCCACAGTCAGGAAGAGCTGATTTTAATTGTATTGCTTTTTTTTTCACTGCGTAAGACATGGATGCAATCCATTAAGCTGACAAAATTTGACAAAGAATGTATAGTATACAGGCTGAAATGGTAGAACATCGTTCTTCTGTTTTATTTCTGGAAGTCAGGCATTATCCCAAATACACTTTTAC